GTTCGTCGTCGTGTGTGTGTGTGTGTGTGTGTGTGTGTGTGTGTGTGTGTGTGTGTGTGTGTGTGTGTGTGTGTTTTCCTGCGTGCTGCTGGCCTGACAAGCTGTGCATGCATGCGTTGAACGCGGGCTGGTGCTATGTGAGGGTCAGTGTCCCGGTGACGGTGCACGCAGCTCCTGCGCATGTGCACGTACCTGCGCACACACTTGCGCACACGCACACACAAGTCCATGCTCACACGCACGCACACACACACACACACACACACACTGCACTTGCTGCAATGCACACGCGCATCGCCGATGCACCCTTGTCCGCTGCCTTCTAGGGCATCTTCTGGTTTGTGCTTCGCCAGGACACGTTTGGAAAGCCCGGAGAGATCAGGCCTTCCAAGTTTGAAGCCTACTCTGGCAAGACTCTGGCCACCAGCTATGACCTCAAGGTTTGGCGTATGTTGTGTTGTGTTGTGTTGTGTTGTGTTGTGTTGTGTTGTGTGTGTGTGTGTGTGTGTGTGTGTGTGCGTGCGTCCTGTCCTTCCCCCTTTCGCGTCGCCCTTTGCAGCGCACTGCTGCTTGTTGCCACCACCACTCGATTCATCGTCACTGCGTTGCACTGCTTGTCTCGTGTAGGATGCACGCATCGTACCCCTGGCCAAGCCGCCACGCTCGTTCCAGGTTTGCCATTTGTCCCCCTGCTATTAGCGTGTTGCTCCTACCCGTGTCACTTGATGGCACGCGTCCTTGCACCCTCCTCTTGCTGACACACACACACACACGTGTATGTCATTGCTGTCGCGCGTGTCTTGCAGGTCACTCTCAAGAACGGGAAGAAGCTTGTGTTCCAGCCAGAAAGCGGTAAGTGCACACACACACACACACACACACAGAGAGTCACCGACACAGGAATGCGCTCGCACAACCACACAAACAAACAAACACACCAACCCTCACGTGCGCTGTGCTGCCTTGTGTGCAACAGAGTCTGCTGCGGACTGTGCAGAGTGGGTGACAGCACTCCAGATGGCGGTGAACGGCGCTGTGACGTTCGCAGACGTGCACGAGTCTGGGCAGCTTGCCCGGCGCGCCAGCAGCAAGCAGCAGCGCCTCGCCACCGTACGTCATGCCTGCGTGTGTGTGTGTGTGTGTGTGTGTGTGTGTGTGTGTGTGTGTGTGTGTGTGTGTGTGTGTGTGTGTGTGCGTGTGTGCGTGTGTGTGTGTGTGCGTGTGTGTGTTGCTGCCACCTTTACGATTGACACCCTCCTCACTGTTTCCCGCCTCACACGTGTGCATGGAATGCATCACCATCACGTAGGCTGAGGACAAAGAAGGCATCGACCTGCCTGGTGAGCAGTGTCGCCTGTTGCTCATCACCTGATTGTGCCGCTGTGTCCATCCTGTCACATAATGCGTGACATGATGCATCTTGTGTGCATTTCATCACGCGTACATCCGCATATTGTCCTGCACTGCTGTGCCCTCGCTCGCATGCGTATGAACTGGTGTTATCGATTCCTACGCAACACTCACTCTGGCGCTGTCCAACTTGTGTGTATGTGTGAATGTGCGCGTATGTGTGAATGTGTGTATGCGTGTGCAGATGACCTGCACGAGGAGTCGGAGGACGAGGAAGAAGAGACGATGGGCGGTATTCACGACACATCAACACCAACACCAACACCATCATCAACAACCACAACAACAACACCAGCGTCATCAACCACCGCCACCGCCACCAGCAGTAGTGGAGAGCAGCGTGTCAAGTCTGGCCCGCGCGTGACGTCGTTCCCCGCCAAACCGGTGCCGCCACACGACCCCGCCGAGGACAGCGATGACACCGTGCAGACAGCTGGCATGAGTGAGGACGGTCTGAGTGCACAGATGTCGACGTTCAGCTTTGAGGATGATGGCAGCGACGCGAGCGCGGCTGGCGATGATGCAGATGAGGAGTACATTGAACACATTGCCCCAGACCAGTTTGACTTTACATCCAGGTGTGTGCACATGCATGTGTGCGTGTGCGTGCGAGAGACAGTGTGTGTCTGTGTGTCTGTGTGTGTCTGTGTGTTGTGTTGTGTCAACCGTGACACCGTATATACATGCGTGTACGCTATGGTACTTGACTCCCGTGTGTCCAATGCACATACCATTCACGCAACACATCACATCATGTCACACACCCCCCCCCCCTCTTGGCGACAGGCCGCAGCGGCACGTGACGCCGTCTGGGCGGGCGCTGTACATCAAATGCCTCGTACAGCGCCTCGCTGACATGGCTGCGGGATACGCTGGTTCGTACGCGCACGCGCACGCGCGCGCACACACACACACAACCACACACGCATGCACACTTGCTCGTTGCTTGCCTGCTTCGTTGCTTTCCATTGATTTGGAGTGTGGTCATGCACACCACCCTGTTTACATTCAACACCGGAATCGCCCCCCCCCCATGTTCACCGGACACACACACACACACCACACACACACACACACACACACACACACACACACACACACACACACACACACACACACACACACACACACACACACACACCACCACACACACACACACACACCCACACATAAACGCAAATGCTCCAGGGGGGAATACCAGAGCGGGGGGCGCGATGGGGCCACCGGTTTGGGGTGGACGCAACTCATTCTCCCCCTAGGAACCGGGGGAGGGTCCGAAACGACAAAAAAAATCACAAAAAATAC